GGGAACAGAGGTGAAGACTTTCTCCCCCAAACTATTGAGCCATTATCTGATCAATCAGTCGAATTTGATCGAATCGATGAACGGTGGTGTAATATCGGATAGGCCAGCTCTGGTTCTGGCCAGCTCGGTTTTCCGATGGACGAACGGCGTCGTTTACAAGCTGAATGAATAACCATAACACGTCTCCTCTGTGGCTTCTCCCTCTCTATTTCATCCTCCATCCAGCGAACCGGACGGGAGTGGTGCGCGGCTGCGCCCCGTACGCGTGCGACCGCCCCAGCCTCTTCCTGCCCTCGGATGCCACACTCCGCTGCTGCAACACCGACGTGTGCAATCGCCTGTCCATCCTCGACGTTGTGCAGGGCAGCGTCAACCTGGAAGTGGGCGCGCCGGGCTTCTCGTATTCAGACTCCGGCAACTCGGCTCCTAGGACGGCGATGTTCAGCGGTGGCGGATGGTCGTGGCTGGGGATGTCCGCGTTAATTGGCCTCGCCTCGACGTTCCAAGGAGTCTGAGAATGAAAGCGGTCGGGGCGCGGAGTCGAATTATTTTTAAGTCGAGACGAAACTGAACATGCAACTATTCTCTAGTAGCTAGCAACACACCTCTAGGTCGTATGGCTTGGGCTGTTTGGAAAACATCTCAATCTTAGTTGATTATATTTTAAAAAAGTACTTTTTAGTGATGCCACTGTGCTAAGACTGCCACTTTTAAAATAAATCAAACAAGCCTGTGGCATCACCTGTAATGCACCTGAAAGTCACTTTAAAGTCATGCCTTTAATTGAGGAAAGTTCCAAATTTGTGCCAGGCATCTCACGACATACAGCCTCTGGGTCTTTATCTCGAAGCGATATTTGTTTTGTGGGTTGCATCTTTTATGAGATCAACAATTGCTTCAATGGAAACAAAAAAGGAACTTTTATTTCAATGTATAAATTCCCACATAGCTCTGGGATTGCTGCTACCTGATTGATCTCTGCTCCAATAACTCACATACTTCCAGGTAAATAACGCAGAACACTCAACTGTCGATTCTCCCGGGTAACAGGCGGGAGGGATTTCCCCGATAAAACAAAAACATAATGTAAAACACAAGTCAATTTGGCCATAACGCTTATTTATTCGGGGATTTTTTTTATCGGTTTACTTGCCAACGTGTTTGAGTTCACGTGGGTACTGACCCTCGACAAGCAGCTGATAAACCAGCGAGCATAAAGATTTTTTTTGCAAGCACAGTTAATCTGCAACCTGATAATCAGCCCATGGATAATCGAGTGTTAACTGTAGTTCTGTATCCATACCAATTTACAGCTATTGCACGAATAAATTTATTATATATTGACACGTTTACATCCTATGCCCTGTGTATACTTAGCTGTTTGCTGCTGGCTAGCTGACTGCTTTCTGCTCTCAGACTGACTTATGGACTTCAATTAAATCAAGGACGTTTTGCTGTGCACAGATTTGCCTATACATGCGCACGTACACCTACATAATCATACATATGAAATACATGGGAATAAACAACTCAACAAATTTGTTATTAACACTGCCTTGTAACAGAATAAACTGACACTGAGTAATTGCCCTTCTGCAGAGGACAGAGATACCCATATTATAGTTGGAGATAGCACTTTAACCTTTTATTCCCGAAGTTGGGAAAATGTTTAACAAAATAGCCCAATAAACAGTTTTGAATTTGCATATAAACTATTTTTTTCCATTCATAGGCACTGAGTAGCAAACAAACTCTTAAATTTGAAAAGTCAAACACTTATTCGTACCCCAATAATACATTATAGGTAAAATTAAGGGGCAGTGAAGTGCCCATTGCTTTGTATGAGTATGAGTAAAGTCAAGTCTATTTCACATCATTGCCACCTGACCAGGTGTGAATTAACCTATGCTTTTGCAATTACCCAAGCTGTCACAACTTGCGCGACATGTCTTAACACTGCTTTGATAGTTTTGAAAACCTCACGTAATTTACACAAACACCGCCAGCTTGGAAGGCCTGCAGGACACTTGCTGTTGTGTTGCTGACTCAAGAAGGGCTTCAATTCGAGGACTTTAAAAAATGTGTCCGTGAACGCTGCTGTTAGATGACTCTAAGATTTCTCACTGCTTGCTTTTCTCTGGCTGACTCTGGGGGCTTTGAGTAAAATTACATATTTACTATTTCAGTCTAAAGTTGAATATGAATGCTAACTGGGTGGCACTAGTCTGCACTGGTTTAGGAAAAAATAAATAACAATTTGTGCTTGTGCACCACTGCCAACGCAGCATCCCAAGTTAATTTGCTTGTTCTATACGAGGCTGAGGCTAAACTGCTATAAAAGATAAACGGGTCTAGATTTGACCTAGACTGAGAGTAAACAGAAATGATAACTGGAGCAGTGATTGTCTAGGCTGGTTGAGAAGCTACTGTGTAGAATAGATATAAAAACAAGGTTGAGAACAAACATGAATGCTGACTAAACCAGATTAGGATTATATTGAGACTAGACCAGCCTGGACTGGGTGCCACGGTGGCGAGATGTTAATTCCCTCGTCTGGTATACGGGAGGTCGTGGGTTCGATCCCGACCCTGACACCTGTATATTTGGAGTTTGTATGTTCTCCCCCGTGGGTTCTCCGGTTTTTCCCTCCACATTTAGAATCAACATCACGCATTTTGAGTATTTGGCTGCAAAAAAATTCCACATAAGCTACTTCGTTGAGCTATTATTTGTGACCAGAACACTTCTGAAAAAGAGCTATATAGCTCAGTGGGCCTTACCTAGTAAAAATTAAAAAAGATTAGTTTAATAGTTTAGGTTACCTGGCCTAGAGTGACCTGAGGATGAACTTGCCTAAAAGCTGAAGCGAATATGGCCCAGACAAGGTTGAGGCCGAACTGGTCTAGAATAGGTTTGGGTAAATCGTTTAGACCAGGCCAGGGCTTAATTGGTCCAAACTGGTCTATGTCATCCTGAGTATGAACTGCTCTTGACCAGGCCAATTATAGATTGGATAAAATCAGTCTAGGCTATGTAGAGTTTGAACTGGTCTGGTATACACTAGGATGAAATGCAATATAGATTCTGAGTGGGTGCCTTTTTACAATTTACTGTTGAGTAAACCTTTGAACTCTTCTGCATGCTCGTAAACTTTAGTCCGAATGTTGAGTTTGTTGTAGCATTTTAAAACAATTTCAACAAAAGCTTTGGTAAAAATTTACATCTTGAGGAAACAATGCTCTGTGTTTTTTCTTAAACATTTCACACCCATTCACACAACTATTTGAAACTGTATCGTTGAATTAAACTATGACATATTTATTAATTAAATAATAATAAAAACAACCCTACGTGTTTACTTTTTCCAATTAGATTTCTGCCAAAAGGTGTTTTTTTTTGCTTGGAGTCTTGCTATGGAATAGACCCTGCCTAGGCCTTCCCCAATGATCTTGGGAAATTAACCACAGGGCTCTCGTATTTGTTGCCCTCCGAGTGTCTTGTCGCGACCATTATGAACCCAATCAAAGGCGTTAATTGGTTATCCCGAAATGGGCGCTGTCAAATAGTGGCAAGGTAAAACTTTAAAACTACTAAACTTTGATTGTCGTTCTTGACCGGGCTACCATTTGCAAAGAGCACAACCCAAATACCACGCGCCTATCCGTGCTACGAATTTCCAACATATCTGCCCTCCCCCCCCCGCACGTGACGAGCCAACGGCCAATCCCAGCGCGCGCGTTTTCGGTTGTGATGACGTCACCGCGACCGCCGCCAACGCCCGTGCGTGACGTCATCGCACAATCCGCGCGTCACCGCTGGCGGGGCGTGACGGTAAATGACGTCATCGCCACACGTACGTCGCCGTGGCGACGGGGCGGGTGCGTGGCGGCATTCACATGCGACGCAAGGGTGGGGCGGAGGGGCGGGGCGAGTGGCTCCTTCCCTTTTCGGGGCCATCCATTCAGTCGGTCCGCAACAATCTGTCAAAAGTCTCGTAGGGTAAAAAATAAAACAACAAAAATCACGACGTTTCGGCCACAACGCAAGTAGCCCCTCATCAGGTGAAGGGGACCGTACTGTCACGCTGTCCTCGTGACAGTACGGTGACTTTACCGAATAGAACCAAAGAGTATGGATCCTTGCAGTCACGAAAGCTTCAAATCTAGAATCTGTCAGAACTTTACCCCTCCCCGCCTTCTCTGTTCGCACGCGAACTTTTTACAGACCACCCAACCCCACCAGCGTGCGTCCGCCTGACGCACACCCCCCCACACAGCCTCCCGAATCCTATAGAGGGCGCGATATTTAATCCACGCAGAAACGATCAAGGATAGACAAATTATACTGGTAGGAACGAAGTTGTAAACTGAGTGTACCAGCCTGCAATAGATTAATGTGTCCGTCCGTCCGTCCCCTTTCAATACTTTAACGAAGTGAAATCTCGTGCTGTTGGGTGTAAAATCAGCAATGGACAACGCAGAGACTTGATACGTCTTATTGCACCCAACATTTGGAAGTCACATTATCTCATTTGCGAACTTCTACCAGCCCACCCTGCAGGGACCTGTTTATCGAGGCTTCACCCCCCAACTCCACACCGTGTCCTATGCGTACGCACATTGTCAGTAGACACTCGTACAACACCACACTCGTACAACAATACACTCGTACAACACCACACTCGTACAACACCACACTAGTACAACACGACACTCGTACAACACTACACTCAACTCCACACCACACTCGTACAACACCACACTCGTACAACACCGCACTCATGTGTCTAGTCGCAGCATTCTTATCTTATATATATGTGTTCTAGCGCACGCATTTGTGTTAACCCCCTCCTCCCCTAGCACCGTCGCGTTCGAAGCCGCACAGAGCGAGGCAGGTTTCAGTTTTTTTTTATTATTAAACTCGGCGGTGCATGCTCGCTCGGCCAGCCTCGCACCCCTCCCGCCCTGCCCCCATTGACGTCAATTAAATTACCCGGAAAAGTAAATTAATTAATGAAAGCGGCGTTCCTCTCTGGGCAACGCACGGACACGGCCAAGAGAAGTCTCTCCCCCTCCTCCTCCTCCTCATCCTCCTCTCTCTCTCTCGTCATTCACAAAGACTTTCGTCTCGCCTTCTTTTTTTTACTCTTTTACCCCCCACCCCTGCCGCCGCCGCTGCCGCCGCCGCCGCTTTTTCTGTTTTGTTTTCTTACCGAATCGTTGACGGGGCAGCGAGACGGGGGGGAGGCACTTTTATTGTTGTTGTTGTTGGGTGAATCGTCGATGGTTTTTACGGAGTAGTGGTGGTAACCAGTTTGACATCGCCATCCCAGCTTCTTCACCCACCCACCCACCACCTCTCTCTTTCTCCGAGTACATGTGTCAAGAGCGGTGCTCTTAATGATCTAATTTTTTTATTCGCTCTTAAGTTGACTCCCTCGGCAGTTATCCGTCGATTCCTTAATGAAATACCGGCCGGCCAGTTGAGTTTTGTACACCGAACAAGAAATATATATATTTTTTAATTCGCGCGGTGTCCGACCAAGCGCAATCTGGATAATCGTTACTACGTACTCCGATGAGCTCGTTAGCGTATTAATTTTATCATCGAATGGTGAAATATTGATCGATCTAAAGTTCAGCGCAGACTTCCGCTTAAAGTTTACAAGGTAGCCCTGGGTAATGGTAACTCGCGCAGTTGAGGCTCGTTCCATTGTGTAATTATTGTTGACTCGTCGAGATAATTAATCGTTAACGTTTCAAAATGTTCAACTGTGTTGAGTGTAGGCCTTGTCGTGGCGTTGTTACTATGTGACGCTGCTGTATCGTTAATATCGCTCGAGTTGTCTTTTATTATTAGGCACGTAATCGTTTTTTTATATTTTTGTAATCGCGAGGCACTGAGGCACACCGACGTCGGTGTTTTATTGACATCGGTTTCAACAAGTTTAAGATGAAATACAATGTAAAGTTTTTTTTGTAGACGTGGTGGGTGAATTATCGCAATAACTGTGATTTCGAGCAGGAGTCTGGAGGTATAATAAACATGGAAAAAGCACAGATTTAACGAATATATTGCAGTACAATTGACAATTCTAGTCTGTGTCATTCATATATTTGTGTGTAGTGTATATAATCTCATTGACTTGGAACAAACACGTTATAAACTACTTTTTTTACTGCGTTACCAAAAATAGTTACTTAAACGTAAAGTAAAATTGTGGTAAGAATAAAGCAATAAAACAAACATTCAATTAACTTATTACCACTCTATATTTAGTTTACTCCAGTACTCATTCTACGTCCTCGCAGACCAGTGTGGAGGTGTAGTGTCCGACGGGGGTAAAGCTAAGTCTCATTCCCATAGTGGTTACCTGCGGGACACTTGACCGCTTGCTTGCTAAGATACAACAGAGCCGAGTCCACAACTGGAGGAGCCACTCCGCCTCTAACTAGAAGGACCTCCCCATGGACCCCCCGGCCCATGACCCCTCGCCTCCCCCTCCCACCACTCCCCTCCCGCCGTCCCCCCCGTTCTTCCCCCACGGGAGATCGGTCCTTGACGAGGAGGCCGAGGGGTTTGCCCTGGGTTTCGTCAGGGCCTTGGAGGCCATGCACACGGCGGGCTCTGGGCCATGCCCGGGACAAGGCTCGGCAGGGCACGGCGCCGGGCACGGGCAGCCCTGCACTGCCCACAGCGGGGGCAGCAATGGCCTCGCGGCAGGACCGGTGGCGATGGGACTGCCCCTGGCCGTCATTGACTTCGACTCCCAGGTGAGAGTTGCATTGTGGCATGCGGCAATCGGCTCTTTCTCCCCCACCACCACCCTCGCAGATCCACGCCAAGGCTGATGGAGGAGACCCAGAGTCAAAACTCGGGTCTGGGTGGCTGTGGCACTGCCATTGCGGACCTCCTGAGCCACCCAGGGGAAACCGGACTCATCAGAGCGTGGGATTGCAGAGGCAGAGTCCGTGTGTCTCCCGTGCTTAGAAGAGCATGGCTGTGGATGCGTGTGCCTCTGTTGACGGTCCCGAGTCGGTCGTGTAAATTCCATGTTCTCATGAGTAGGGGCCCAGTCTCTGTTTATCAGCCACAGTAGTTGGCTTCCCTCGAAGCGGTGCAGGTACTTTAGTTGGGGTTGCCTGCTGTGGATCCTCAGTCGAACCTGGGGCTGTTGATCTGACCATGAGAGACAGGTGGCCCAGTCAATTCGTAATGGCCATATCATGGACACTTTGCTTCACGGAGGTACTGGGTTTCTATCAGGGTTTAATGTGACCATTGTAGCGAGTTGATTGTCTCAGTCCAGGTTAATAATGACCGCTCAAACCAAACTCCATGAAGACTTTAGATGTATGCTTGTCTCCGTGACTCCCCAAGTCTTAAGCAGGTATCAAGGTGGAGAGGAAATTACAATAATTGTCTATGTCACTATGTCTTTCCCTTCAACTGTGTATGCACGACAAAGGTGAATCTCAAAGTTGACTGCAATGTCTCTCTTATTTCAGTGTCTTCCTGTGTCTCAGTGTGTCTAGCTATGTCTCTGTCTGTAGAGCATTTCTAAGTGAAGAGTAAGGGGCAGATGAATCTTCCGTACCTCACAGTGTCTCTGCATTTCCATGTCCCGGAGTGTCTTCTCAAGTCCACTAACCTCCATGTGTTTCCACGTGACTTAATGTCTCAGCAGCATCTCAACATCGACAGGCAGAAACGGAGGAATTGTCACTACCGTACGGCATCTCTCTGATAGTCTCTCCCTGTGTCTCAGTGTTTCCTCGTGTGTCTTCATCTCCATGTGTCTCGCTGTACATCTGTTCATGTCTTATGAGCGTCTCAAAGCATAGAGGATGGGGCAGAGGAATTATCTCTACCTGACAGTTTCTCTATTAATCACATTGCCTGTGTGTCTCCTTGTGTCCGTATTCATCTCCACGTGTCGCTTGTGTCTCCACGTGGCTCTGTCTCTATTATCTCCGTGTGTATATAGTAATATCCCTGCCGCCCATGTGTCTGTGTCTCCGTGTGTGTGTCTCAGGAGCGTCTCAAAGCGGAGAGGAAGAGGCAGAGGAACCGGCTGGCCGCCTCGCGTTGTCGACACCGGAAGCTGGAGAGGATCTCTCGCCTCGAGGAGAGGGTGCAGGCGCTCAGAGGGGAGAACTCTGCTCTGCAGGTATTTAACATCGCCTTCGCGGGCCTACAGCCTGCACTTATGTCCACTCAGACTGAAATTACTATTGATTCAACACGTACGTGTTGACACGCATAATGTATGCATTAGATACGTTTTGGCCACCCTTCACCAATCCTCGCTGACCAGCGCGATGAATTGTGGTCAACCATAAACCCTGTTGGGGAGCAAGTGCTGTAAGCAAGCACCTATTCGTGCTGATCGTGCATGAGAGAGTTGTGGCCGGCACCATCCCCGATTGTGTCTTGTCTTCCCAGGGCTAATGTTCACATACCACATCAGGTACTCATTTAAGGCTGAGATCACCTAGGGGAAGGAGGCCCGGGACAAGTTCTGATACCGCTTGCCACTGGTGTTGTTTGTGGCTGGGAATCAAACTGGGATCGCCCGTTTTTTAGTTTTAGTCCCCTGATCACTGGGAGGCCAATGGCTCCACTTGCCTGGTTCCACCTTCACGGCAACACTTTTGGGTTCAGTTTACCCTCAACTTAAAATAAGCAGTGCATTGTACTCATCAGTATTTTAGGTGTGGATTTTTTTTCTCATTTTATGGTAGATATTGGTTAATTGTTCATGAAACATTCCATAACGTTATGATATTTGTTTTAATTGGCTCCAACAGAGATACTTTTCTGTCCTCTGGCTTTAGTCCTCTGCCCATTGGCATTGTCTTTGGCTGCAACTCCCTCCATGCTGTCCAATCTTGAGCTTTCTTCCTCGTTTCACTGTGCGCGCCCCCGCCTCGCCCCCACCACTCCCCTTGCTTCAAGTCATCGAGAAGCATCTCTCTTTCTCTCTCTGCCTTCTGGCCTCTTTCCCAACGTCCGCCCCTCTAAAACTTCCTTCATTGAGCCTTCACCTCTGAGATTGTGCCCAATCAAAATCGTTTGCCTCGTTTGGATTGTTCATATCTGACTTCTCACTTCCTGTCCCTGCTCGAGAACTTCCGCATTACTCATTCTCTGTATGCAACATGCAACACTCCACTCTACACTCGTACTACACAACACTCCACGCTACACAACCACACTACACTCAACTCCACACTTCACTCGTACAACACTACACTCATACAACACTACACTCAACTCCACACTACACTCAACCACACTTCACTCATACAACACTTCACTCATACAACACTTCACTCGTACAACACTTCACTCGTACAACACTACACTCATACAACACTACACTCATACAACACTGCACTCGTACAACACGACACTCGTACAACTCTACACTCGTACAACACTACACTCACCTCCACACTTCACCCATACAACACTTCACTCGTACAACACTTCACTCGTACAACACTTCACTCGTACAACACTACACTCATACAACACTACACTCAACTCCACACTTCACTCATACAACACTACACTCATACAACACTACACTCATACAACACTACACTAATACAACAATACACTCATACAACACTACACTCATACAACACTACACTCATACAACACTACACTCAACTCCACACTTCACTCATACAACACCACTCATACAACACCACTCATACAACACTACACTCGTACAACACTACACGCGTACAACACTACACTCATACAACACTTCACTCAACTCCACACTACACTCATACAACACTACACTCGTACAACACTACACTCATACAACACCACACTCATACAACACCACACTCATACAACACCACACTCATACAACACTACACTCATACAACACTACACTCATACAACACTACACTCAACTCCACACTACACTCGTACAACACTACACTCATGTGTCTAGTCGCAGCATTCTTATCTTATATATGTCTTCTAGAGCCTTTATTTAAGGCGCTTCACAACAATTATAAATTTCTACATAATGATGATAGTGGTTGAAATAAAGAGGGGTTATTGAAAGTGATGGTGTAGCTATGGTGATAGGACAGGTGGGGGAGTGGTTAAGGGGAGGGGGGTTTGGGTAGTGATAGGGGTTGGAGTAGTGATAGGGGTTGGGGTCGTGGTTGGGGTAGTGATGATAGGGGTTGGGGGAAGTGATATCGATTGGAGTACTGATAGGGGTTGGGGTAGGCCTGGTCGTAGCTCGGGGGTGGGGGGGCAGGGAGTAGCAGTAGCAGGATGAGCAAGGGAGAAGAGATGGGGGGTTGTTTTAAGGGATAAGCGAAAGCAGATTGTAGTGAAGATGATTGTTGTGCAGTGGGAGTTTGTTCGAGTGAAAGTGAGCAAGAAGGGGAAATAAACGAAATCGTGATTTGGCGCAAGGCGAAGGAGAATGAGTGCTGATTTTCCCATGGAAATCCTGACTCCAATCTCCATTACGCATCCAATACATTATTATTACTACTACGCTTGTTTACCCAGAAAAGCCTCACCAAGTCTCAAGACTCTCTCTCAGGAAGGTTTTGCCAAGGTTTCAGAGTCTGGGGCCATCTTCTGTGACAATACTGCCCATATACTCTAATGGACTCACTTTTATTGACTTTTAAGTGTCAATTTATGAGCTGCTTCAACTATAATTACCACCACCTGTGGATCCACTCCCATGGCATTTGACATTGCTGTTGGAAGTGAGGCCAGCACCACCTCAGTGCGAGTCATACCAAGGTGTGGCCGGAAAGTGATATCGTTGGCTCTGCCTGATTGGCGTCTTGATCACTTGACTGGAGGATGCCTCTTGTCACATTATGACTGTGATTTGGCCAGCAGTACATTTAACATGTCAGGCACTGCATTGGCTGGGAACCTGAGAATTCCTGATGAATGTATCTATATTTAACTTCTTTCCCACCATATGTTGCCAACCGTGTTAAATGGAGGTACTCAATGGCTGCATATCCTAATATATAAACACCCAGCTCTGTGATTCTGTCATTCTGTGACTAACGCCACACGGATTGGTTGAAGTGCGTCACGTGACCGGGACCAAGCAGCCAACCAATGCTTGGCGGTGCTATAGAGGGGCGGGTGAAAGTCCGCATCGAACCAAACCCCCAGCAAGGCCATCTACTTAACGACGAGAGGAAATTCACACGAAATGTCGTTTTCAATTAAGTATTCCAGATGTAAAATGATATAAGCTTTTAATGAAGAAATACAATGATCTAATTCAAAACATAATACAATTAAAAATGTTTCATTTTAAAACTTCAAAACGGAGCATCCGGGTGCTTGTGTGAATGTGTCGTTCGTGTGCAATTTTTTTCGTGACATTTCTGGCCGAAGGCCGTAAATGGTTGTTCGGGGGCACCATAGGCGCCATAGGAGCCCCCGAACAACCCCGAGTATCAAAGTAAACCAATCCGGTCACCCCAATTGTGGCCGAAACAAAGCTGGCTTAGCTGTGAAAATCAATGGTAGATATAGTTCGATCGTTGGAAAATACTTTTTTTTTTACTGTACAGGGTGCGTAAACCGCAGCCCGGCCACTGAAATGCATTAGAAACATGTGTGATGTGTATCCTCCTACTTTTGATGCAATTGTGTGTGTGTGTTTGTATAATTTGGGGTGCGACAGTGCAGTGGTTAGCGCATAGCGCTACGAGTTTGATTCCCGCTCACAGCCAACATCATTGACGAATATCTTGACCGGTCCTGGGCCTCCCATAGTGCAACTCTGCCTTAAACGAGTACCCATTTTTGGTGTGTAAAAGTGGCCAGGCGTGATGTTGGCCACACCATCGTGCCAGCTTCAATAGGTGCTCGCTAACAACCCCTTACCCATCTGTCTGTATGTAGGCTACATGGGGTATCTGTGTATAACTTGTATATGTGTGTGTGTGTGTGCGTGCGCATATACACAGGCGGCTGCCGGTTCCCTGAGGCGCCAGGTCGCCGGTCTGCGTCGTCGTGTCCTCTCTCACCTGCATGGGGGATGCAGCATCACAGCTCCCCGTGGCACCGGAGGTGGCACGGGCGGAGGGGGCCCTGCCCAAGAGGCCTGCTGAGGGGACTGGGGGGGGGGGGACGTGGGGGTGGGAAGGGGGGATGCAGACTCCCATCCCTGCTTCACGCACGCGCTTATACACCCACCCGCTTATACACCCCACTCGCAACATGCCTCACGCACTCATTCCCAAAATGTCTCTCTCGCTTATACACTCATTCCCAAAATGACTTGCTCACTTGTCCACCCACTCCCACGATGCCTTGCTCACTCTCATCATGCCCCATTCACGTATACACACTCCCACAATGCTCCACTCAATCCCATAATGCCTTATTGTCTTGACTAATTGCTCATGCACCCACTTCCAAAATGCCTCACTCATGGACCCCATGTTACCTCACTCATTCACTCTCATGTCTCGCTCACTCCGATAATGCTTCACTCTCATACATTATGTACACACCCGTACATATGTATATACACACACACAAATATGCACTTGCATATGTATATATATACACACATATATACGGTCTCATATGCACACACATGTATATACACATACACACTTTACATATATTCAATTATACATAAGTATACACTATGTATATATATACATTCAAATATATCTACACTGTTAGCTGTAATATTCACGAGTCAAATCTGCATTCGGGAACTGTTAATGCATCCGATACGAAAACCTCACCTCATCCAATACAGAACCCTTATCCGATGACTACAATGAATTTTCATCAAATTTTTATTACAAAAACTGCTGGCGCATCCGATGCAGAACCTCCATCTTATCCAAAACAAAAACCTGGTCTTAACCATAACAGAACATCCGTCTCATCCAATACAGAACCCTGGTCTTAACCATTACAGAACACTTGTGTAATCTGATACAGAACCCTCGTTTTGTTTGGGTGCCTTTGTCTAAAGTCTAAAGTTTATACACTAAGTATTATAACTGACAAAGATTGATAAATGATCCTTTATTAATATGTTAACAAAGTATGTCTTAAGAATATTGCTCAGTTAAATATATATTCTGATTAAAAATAATTTAATCAAAGATTGGTATGTGGACATTGTCATTTAAGTTTTTTAAATGGTAAATTTTTGCGAATTTTTTTTGTAATGCTGGGTTCATGTCTGAGACGAAGCCAAACCGTTGATTTTATAACAGCCCTAAAACACGGCCCCACCTCTTAACACGGTCACGGCTCCACATCTACCCCTGAACACAACCTCTGATTTGCTAACCTTTCTGAAACTTTGCACTCTGGTCGTTTTTTTGTATTGTTGTAACTTTGACCCGCCCCCTTCTGGATATCTGTGAAAAAGAGCTTCATAGCTCATCGGATTTCTCCAGGATAAATAAAGATTGATTCTGACAGCCTACAGCCCAGCCTCACCTCTAGCCCTCGCACACAGCCCGACCCCTAACACTAACACAGCCCCACCTCTAACACTAACACAGCCCTAACACGATCACAGCCCTAACACTAACACAGCCCCACCTCTACCCCTAACACTAACACAGCCCTAACACGATCACAGCCCCACCTCTACCCCTAACACTATCACAGCCCTAACACGGTCACAGCCCCACTACCCCTAACACTATCACAGCCCTAACACTATCACAGCCCCACCTCTACCTCTAACACAGCCCTAACACTATCACAGCCCCACCTCTAGCACTATCACAGCCCTAACACTATCACAGCCCCACCTCTACCCCTAACACTATGACAGCCCGACCCCTAACAAACACTATCACAGCCCTAACACTAACACAGCCCCACCTCTAACACTAACACAGCCCCATCTCTACCCCTAACACTATCACAGCCCCACCTCTACTACCCATAATAAAGGCTTTTGGGTTAGATCACGTTATTATAAATGTGTCAACCCTCCACCACCCTACATGGCCAATCAGCAAAAAATGTGTCATGTTAAAACGCCAAATAGTTACTACTTCAGCCCAGTCATGTGTTTGAAGAGTGAATCCACAACATTTAGATTCGATTAAATAATAGAATACGACGTTTCGATTGCAACAAGCAATCGTCATCGGGTACAACTAAATTTGAGAGAGAAAACACAGACACAGACACAAGCAGAGAGAGAATGCCTCTGTGTGTCTCTGTGTTGTCTGGATGATTGCTTGTGTTGCAATCGAAATGTATTCTATTATTTAATTTATTTTCTTTCTACGTGACTTTACCGAAAGAACCAAAGAGTAATTCCTGCAGTCACGAAAGCTTTACACCAAAGGCCTTTATTATGAATAATACTGGTCGTGAAAGCCTACGTGTTAAACTGGCTCTACTCTCTAACACTGACTCTACTACCACTAACACAGCCCTACCATTAACACCGCCTCTACCACTAACACAGTCCCCACCCCTCCCACTAACACAGCCCCACCTCTACCACTAACACAGCCCCCACCTCTACCACTAACACAGCCCCTACCTCTACCACTAACACAGCCCCCACCCCTACCACTAACACAGCCCCCACCTCTACCACTAACACAGCCCCCACCTCTACCACTAACACAGCCCCCACCTCTACCACTAACACAGCCCCCACCTCTACCACTAACACAACCCCTACCACTAACACAGCCCCCACCTCTACCACTAACACAGCCCCCACCTCTACCACTAACACAGCCTCCACCTCTACCACTAACACAGCCCCCACCTCTACCACTAACACAGCCCCCACCTCTACCCCTAACACAGCCCCCACCTCTACCACTAACACAGCCCCCACCTCTACCACTAACAGCCCCCACCCCTACCACTAACACAGCCCCCACCTCTACCACTAACACAGCCCCCACCTCTACCACTAACAGCCCCCACCCCTACCACTAACACAGCCCCCACCTTTACCACTAACACAGCCCCCACCTCTACCCCTACCACTAACACAGCCCCCGCCTCTACCACTAACACAGCCCCCACCTCTACCACTAACACAGCCCCCACCTCTACCACTAACACAGCCCCCACCTCTACCACTAACACAGCCCCCATCTCTACCACTGACACAGCCCCCACCTCTACCACTAACACAGCCCCACCTCTACCCCTACCACTAACACAGCCCCACCTCTACCACTAACACAGCCCCACCTCTACCACTAACACAGCCCCACCTCTACCACTACCACAGCCCCACCTCTACCACTAACACAGCCCCCACCTCTACCCCTACCACTAACACAGCCCCCACCTCTACCACTAACACAGCCCCCACCCCTACCACTAACACAGCCCCCACCTCTACCCCTACCACTAACACAGCCCCCACCTCTACTCCTACCACTAACACAGCCCCCACCCCTACCACTAACACAGCCCCACCTCTACCACTACCACAGCCCCGCCTCTACCCCTAGCACGGCTCCACCACCACTGCCCTCACAGTGATGACAGATTCCTCTGCTCCCCAAGGTCGCGTGGGGGAGGGGGGTCTGTGTGCAGGAGGGGGTGTGGGTGGAACGTGAAGTGCTGAGTCCCCTCGGACCCCCACGGCTTCTTCGGGGCCTCGGCCGCCGAGCGGACCCCAGGCTCCTCCTAGGACAGAAACAACCGGGGATCATTTCTAGACCAGGGTCGTCATTTTAGGGGTGGTCCAGAAAAAAAAAAGTGATGTGCCACGATGTTTTATTGTTAGATAACCAATCGTTGCTGTCCGATTTGTTTTTCGGGTTGCACCGCGCGTTGTTTGGGACGGTGTCCGAGGTTTGGCTCCACGCGCCGGGAGCTTCTTCAGCAATCGAGTTATACCAACGTTGTGCTGAACGACGTGCGGTACAACCCGAAAATACATCCAGGCTGTTTGTCCACGAGCCCAGAGCAGATATTTCACATGCGGGTACCACCTGAGGTGGCATCACTTTAGCGGTTCCAATTTCTAAATGTGGAGAATAACAGTGAATCATGTGATCTTATCAAGTCATTCACTCGTATTAGCCGTGTAAATCGGTACCATTAAAGTTTTGATACCTTAGGTGGTACAGACTTTTCCTCTGGCCGATGGACTACGTCCCTCTACAGTGAGTAACCTCTCAGGGTTTCATCGATGCATTTGACGACATTTAAAATATATATGCGTTTTCCAACAAAGGTGTAACGTGCACATGCATTAGTTCCACCCGTTCATCTAGATTCTAGAACGTGAGTGGCCAAGTAACTCTCGTGCATATGATTTTTTAAAAATTAACACAACTTTTAACGTAAAGTGCTATTACTATTTAGGGACTTCTTACTTTTTAAAATAGAAAAAGCAGAAGATGCCATTATCAGAATGAGCTGTGATATCCTAAATTTGCTCTTCATGGAAATAATGGGGTTTTGTTAAGGAGACATGGATGGGGTCCCGTACCCCTGACTTTGTCCAGCATTGAGGACACGCCTTATATGTAGACACATTTTATGTACCAGGGACTGGTAGTGGTAGAACTGTGTGTATGTGCAAGTACTATGGACTAGTAGGACTGTGTGTGCGTATGTGTGAGTGGGGCGTGATAGTGCAGCGGTTAGTACCCTGCACTACGAACCTGGCGAGCCAAATTCGATTCTCGCTCATGGCGCACACCAGTGAGAATTATCTGAACTGGTCCTGGGCCTCCCCTAGGTCGACTTATCCTCAAATAAGTACAGTGAGGGAAAAAAGTATTTGATCCCCTGCTGATTTTGTACGTTTGCTCACTGACAAAGAAATGATCTGTCAATAATTTTAATGGTAGGTTTATTTGAACAGTGAGAGACAATAACAAAATCCAGAAAAACGCATGTCAAAATTGTTATAAATTGATTGGCATTTTAATGAGGGAAATAAGTATTTGACCCCCTCTCAATCAGAAAGATTTCTGGCTCCCAGGTGTCTTTTATACAGGTAACGAGCTGAGATTAGGAGCACACTCTTATAGGGAGTGCTCCTAATCTCAGCTTGTTACCTGTATAAAAGGCACCTGTCCACAGAAGTAATCAGATTCCAAACTCTCCACCATGACCAAGACCAAAGAGCTCTCAAAGAATGTCAGGGACAAGATTGTAGACCTACACAAGGCTGGGATGGGCTACAAGACCATTGTCAAGCAGCTTGGTGAGAAGGTGACAACAGTTGGTGCGATTATTCGCAAATGGAAGAAACAAAAAAGAACTGTCAATCTCCCTCAGTCTGGGGCTCCATGCAAGATCTCACCTCGTGGAGTTGCAATAATCATGGGAACGGTGAGTAATCAGCCCAGAACTATACGGGAGGATCTTGTCAATGATCTCAAGGCAGCTGGGACCATGGTCACCAAGAAAACAATTGGTAACACTACGCCGTGAAGGACTGAAATCCTACAGCGCCCGCAAGGTCCCCCTGCTCAAGAAAGCACATATACATGCCCGTCTGAAGTTTGCCAATGAACATCTGAATGATTCAGAGGACAACTGGGTGAAAGTGTTGTGGTCAGATGAGACCAAAATGGAGCTCTTTGGCATCAACTCAACTCGCCGTGTTTGGACGAGGAGGAATGCTGCCTATGACCCCAAGAACACCATCCCCACCGTCAAACATGGAGGTGGAAACATTATGCCTTGGGGGTGTTTTTCTGCTAAGGGGACAGGACAACTTCACCGCATCAAAATGACGATGGACGGGGCCATGTACCGTCAAATCTTGGGTGAGAACCTCCTTCCCTCAGCCATGGCATTGAAAATGGGTCGTGGATGGGTATTCCAGCATGACAATGACCCAAAACAAACGGCCAAGGCAACAAAGGAGTGGCTCAAGAAGAAGCACATTAAGGTCCTGGAGTGGCCTAGCCAGTCTCCAGACCTTAATCCCATAGAAAATCTGTGGAAGGAGCTGAAGGTTCGAGTTTCCAAACGTCAGCCTCGAAACCTTAATGACTTGGAGAAGATCTGCAAAGAGGAGTGGGACAAAATCCCTCCTGAGATGTGTGCAAACACGGTGGCCAACTACAAGAAACGTCTGACCTCTGTGATTGCCAACAAGGGTTTTGCCACCAAGTACTAAGTCATGTTTTGCAGAGGGGTCAAATACTTATTTCCCTCATTAAAATGCAAATCAATTTATAACATTTTTGACATGCGTTTTTCTGGATTTTTTGTTGTTGTTATTCTGTCTCTCACTGTTCAAATAAACCTACCATTAAAATTATAGACTGATCATTTCTTTGTCAGTGGGCAAACGTACAGAATCAGCAGGGGATCAAATACTTTTTTCCCTCTGTACCTAGTGCGTTGTGTAAACATCGCCACTGGGAAGAAGAAGGCGGCCGGGCGTGATGCTGGCCACCCACCCCCTCAATTGCCGTGACAGCCTTCATAGGTGCTCGCTAACAGCACTTGTCCCCAACATTCTGTTACGGATCTTTGTACCAGGGGCTGGTAGTAGTAGGACTGTGGGTATCTTTGGGTATCTATGTGAGTACCAGGGGCTGGTAGTAGTAGGGCTGTGGGTATCTTTGGGTATCTATGTGAGTACCAGGGGCTGGTAGTAGTAGGACTGTGGGTATGTGTACACTGGGTGGGCCATAAGCAAATACCTGATTTTAAATAGCGGTATTTTGTGTGAAATATTTTAATTTTGATTTTTTTGCAGAAATAAAGTCGAAGCCTGGGAGTTTATGATGAACCGGTATACACCGCAGCAGCGTGCAAGAATAATTGAAATCTTCAGAAATAATTGTTCAATTATTTCAACAGAGGGACTATCGCAGATATTTTAAGACCCGAACAGCTCCAACTCCGCACCGTATTCGGGTGTTGATTCCCCGATTTCGGGAATCAGGAACATCGGTGGACGCAAAACGTCGTGTTGGCAGACCTCGAACCGGTCGATCTCCGACTGCTATTGAGCAAGTAAGGCCGAGTGTCAATGAGCGCCCCGAAGCTTCAATTGGGGATCACATGGCGGTCGCTGCGGCGAATCCTGGTGCAGGACTTGCATCTTTTTCCACGTAAGATTCGGCTGGTGCTAGAATTGCAGCCCAGAGACCATCAAAACCGCCGAGAGTACTCACGTGCTTTCATTGACCTTGCAGACCAAGACGATGCTTTCATTACAAATTTTATGTCGGATGAAGCTCATTTGCACCTTAGCGGCTTCGAAGACAAAATAAATAGCAGGTTCTGCGAATTGATACATAATTATATAGAAGCTCGGTGAATTATATAATTTTATATCATTTAGAGTTTGTGTTTTTTTTTAATTTGTCAAAATTTATAGACAAAATACAACACGTAGTAACTTATGGCCCACCCTGTATATGTGTGTGTACCAGGGGCTGATAGTGGTAGGTCTGTGTGTATCTATGTGTATGTGTGAGTACCAGGGGCTGGTAATGGTAGGTCTGCGTGTATCTGCGTGTATGTGTGTGTACCAGGGGCTGGTAATGTGAGGATTGTGTGTATCTGTGTGTATGTGTGAGTACCAGGGGCTGGTAATGGTAGGTCTGCGTGTATGTGTGAGTACCATGAGGCTGGTAGTGTGAGGATTGTGTGTATCTGTGTGTATCTGTGTGTATCATGAGGCTGGTAGTGTGAGGATTGTGTGTATCTGTGTGTATGTGTGTGTACCATGGGGCTGGTAGTGTGAAGATTGTATGTATCTGTATGTATGTGTGTGTACCATGGGGCTGGTAGTGGTAGGTCTGTGTGTATCTGTGTGTATGTGTGTGTACCATGGGGCTGGTAGTGTGAGGATTGTGTGTATCTGTGTGTATGTGTGTGTACCAGGAGCTGGTAGTGATATGACTTTGTGTATCTGTGTGTATGTGTGTGTACCATGGGGCTGGTAGTGTGAGGATTGTGTGTATGTGTGTGTATGTGTGAGTACCAGGGGCTGGTAGTGGTAGGACTTTGTGTATCTGTGTGTATGTGTGAGTACCAGGGGCTGGTAGTGGTAGGACTTTGTGTATGTGTGTGTATGTGTGAGTACCAGGGGCTGGTAGTGGTAGGATTGTGTGTATGTGTGTGTATGTGTGAGTACCAGGGGCTGGTAGTGGTAGGACTTTGTGTATCTGTGTGTATGTGTGAGTACCAGGGGCTGGTAGTGGTAGGACTTTGTGTATGTGTGTGTATGTGTGAGTACCAGGGGCTGGTAGTGGTAGGATTGAGCGTTGCTGGGGTCCACCGGTGCCAGAGACTGCAGCTCAGCATCGCGCGCATTCACGAGTCTCAGGAAAACCTCTGCCCTGCCCAGCTACACACGCACACACATACAAAATAAAAGATCCCCCGTGTAGCCTTCGCAGACTGCACCAGGAACTCACTCTTTCATGTAAGGCTGAGTTAACCTAGGAGAGGTCCAATATCTGTTTAAGTATCACGCTCCACTGATGTTAGCCGCAGCCAGGAGTCAAAATTATTCAAAGCATTGTGCGCAAACCGCTGTACCACCGCTCCCCAAACGCACGTTTACATCTCGACGCACAACGCAGAAATGGCCCCGATGACATTAACTCCACGTGCAGGAGCCAGACCGACTGCGGCATCGCAAGGCCACGAGAGGGATGTAGAGGCCTTCGTCCAGCAGTGGATGGACAATGACAATCGACGATGACTTAAACTAAACTATTAACTAAACTCTTTTTATTTTACCAGTTAAGGCCCACTTAGCTATGTAGCTCTTTTTCAGAAGCTACCAGTCCACAAATGATAGCTCAACGAAGTGGCTTATCACGTGGAAATTTAAAGCAACCAAATACCCTAAAACGGTGTTTCTAAAAGTGGAGGAAAAAACTGGAGGACCCGAAGAAGAATCCACACGACCACAGGCAGAGAGAGAGAGAGAAAGAGAGACACTGCAAACTCCAAATATTCAGCAGGCGTCAGGGTCGGGATCGAACCCTGCATACCAGGCAAGGGATTTAACATCTCGCCACCGCGGCGCGCACGACGACGTCGACGACGACACGTGGTGTCTCACCTGCGGCACGGCATTGACCTGCCCCGGAGTGAGGCCCGGCCTCACGGGAGTGAGCCGGAGCGGCACCCTCCAGCGGCCGCTCATCAGGCGGTTGTGCCGGTCAAAGAGGTGCACGGGCGCCCATCCCCGCGACACCAACCTCGACCCGGCGGCCCCCCCCGTGCCAGCTCCCCATGGCTGCTGCCCCCCGGCCGAGGCCACCTGCAGCTCAAGCAGCAGCTGAGTGTACGTGGACGGGGCCAATCTGACTCGGGCAAAGCGAGAGAACGGGGACGACGCGGCCGGAGTTACTGCTGCTGCTGCTGCCGCTCGACATCCACCACGCTCGTCGGTGGTAGCAGCAGCAGCGTCAGGAGCACCAATGTCAACCATCGGCAACAGCAACAACAGGAGCAGAATCATCATCAACAATAGCAGCAACAGGAGCAGAATCATCATCGGCAATAGCAGCATCAGGAGCAGAATCATCATCGTCAATAGCAGCATCGGCAGCATCGGCAGCATCATCAGCAGTACCAGCAGTACCAGCATCAGCAGTACCAGCAACAGTAGCATCGTCAGCATTAGCAGTGTCAGCATCATCGGCATCTCCCACAGCATCAGCAGGACCATTGCTAACACCGAACATCAGTCGCACCAACATCATCAGCCTCATCAGAAACAGCAGCATCATTATCGGAAACATCATAATTAACAACATTAACATCGGCAGCTCTGTCAGCAATAATAGCATAATCATCAGAAGTGCCAGCATCATCAGCAACACCATCATAAGTATCAATATCAGCAACAGCAACATCTGCAGAAATATCAACATCAGCAGTACCAGCAGCATCATCAGCAGTACCAGCATTCAGCAGCAGCTACAAGAGCAGCTTAGAGATAGGCAGCAACAGCAACTAAAGCAGCAGCAGCAGCTACTGCTGGAGGGAATCCGAGTACTCATTCGGTTCAGGTCAATTCCTTTTCAGTCAAACACAAAACCAGCTGAGCGTGGCTACGCTTAGAGCGCTTAATTCGCAGTTAGAAGGGTGCGAGTTCAAATCCTGGTAGAGTCTTGACTCAGCTCATCAGCAGCAGCAACATAATAACGAGCATTTTAGTTTTTTTTTAGTCGCAACGTTCATGAAAATTGCAACGCATTATCCTGAACAATCCGCAACACACGGAGATGGTGCACATATGTATCAATATGCTTTCCGCCAATCTTCATCTTTCATATGGCTGATGTCGATGCAGAGCAACAACTACAATTTTTAAATTCAGGTGATCAAGCAGACAACCACATCGTTTCTGTTGCATGGTCCGTTCTGGATTAACATAGTCGCACACTAGAGCGTTAATATTCCATTTGTGCATCTGCCATGGTTTGTATGCATTATGTTGAACCTCTTTCGCACTATACGTAGCCAACTGTGCTCATCGGATGTGGTTTATGGTGAGCCATGGGCTTCGTGGAAGGTCAGAACCAGGGATCTTCTGCGTCTTTCACGGGGTGTCTGTGTGTGAGTTCAGCCAATTAGTGAGCGTTTATAAATGTGGGAGGAAACCAGAGCACCCGGAGAAAACCCGCGCATGTGAGGAGGAGCCAACACCGGCAACAACTCTACCTATTCTGCATCCAAACTCCTCATGTCAGTTTTGAACATCTTGAACAGTCTTCTCATCTGACACCAATAAACTAGAGCAATCTTCTTCATTAACTTTCAGAGGGGGGGGGGGCACTTTCGTCAATAAGACATCATCAGTGTGAGGGCCCCCACACATTTGAAACCATTGGGGCTTCACAGCATGATCATGTGTCAAGGGGCTGCCAGTGGCCCGCGGGCCTTGCAATGAAGAACACTGAACTAGATCGTGAACCTACTTTAAAATATCATAATGATGAAGGAATTTCAAACAGTTAACATAGACATCATCCCATCCAGCAGTGGACAGACCACGGCTGACTAAAGGGATGAATGAATGACTGAGCAAGGGGGCGTAGAGGACGCGGAGGGACACCTGTGCACGGGTTGTCTGGTGGCAAGGGTGGCGGTGAGGCCGGCGCTGGGGCCGGGCCAGCCCAAGTGGCATGCGACGGGGGGCAGCGGTGATGGCACCCCCATCTCCTGGCCCTGGTGGTAGAGTCCGACCACCAGGCGAGCCGAACGTGAGCCGGGGTCCAGACCCGAGATGAAGTCGTAGAAGACGATGAAGCCAGAGCTGAGAGATCATGGGGGGGTTAGGATGTGAGAGACAGTTGTGTAATAAGAGACAGTTGTGTAATAACAGTCCATGTTCACATATTTTGGTATTTTTCCACAATTTTATCTTGATTGTACTGTCAGTGTCATGTCATGAGATAAATAATCCGTTAAAAACTCTCTGAGAGCAAGAGATAGTTCTAGAAACGTCCCAGGGGGGGGGGCAGGAGTCCTGAAATTCCAAGCTTTCTGACGATGATCCCATATTAACACGAAGAAACATTCAATGGTATATACTGTATCAACAAAATACCAATGTTCAGGGTCACATTTTGCTTGGTTTCGCTTTGGTTACCCTGTGTTAGAGAACGGTCCGTGGAACTGGACATCACAGAGCCCTTGAAGTGACCTTTAATTCACACGCGAGGGGGCAGCACTTTCCCACCCGCCCTGCTACAGTTCAACGTTTTATATATATTGTTATTTTATTGTTTCCCTTCAACGTGACTTTACCGAAAGAACCAAGAATATGAATCACTGCAGTCACGAAAGCTTTAAATCAAAATTTAGTTCAACGTTTGTCGAGTGCGAGTCAAACCAATACCCCTACCTTTATATTCTCAGAGCTGAATTTAGACAAATGAAAGTGTAGGAGTGAATTCAAATGTGATGGGTTTATTTGTGTGGTCATTGGTGACCGGAAGGGAGAGATGGAAGAAGACACAGGAAAGGGGAAGAAGAGAAAGGAGAGGAGAGAGAGAAGACGCAATACAATCAGAATCAAAATATAAGAATATTTATTTATACTAGAGGAAGCCGATGAGCTATAAAGCACTTTTTCACAGATGTCCAGTAGGGGTGGGTAAGAACGTTACAACAGCAAACAATACAACAGAGAGGGAAAGAGCGAAACAGGAAGCGAGAAACATGAAGAACCAGAAAACAGGAAGAGATATATGGCAAGAGAGATGGGCAATCACCTTCAGTTTGGTTTTAGGGTTCAAGGGTTCAAAGGTGGGAGACTCACGAGGGGTCGTATGGCGATGGTCCCATGGCCTCAGCGGGGTCGAGGAAATGGCGAGCGAGGGTCGGAGTTTGAGCTCTGATCCCATCCTGGCACAGGCAGCGGGGAGTGTGGGTGGAGAGGTGACGAGTCTCACTAAACCTCACAGTGAGACAGGCGAGTGTGGGTGGAGAGGTGACATGTCTCGCAGTGAGACAGACTCAGGTGATTGTGTGTGTGAGTCTGTCTTCTGTTGAGACCTGCACACACACACAGGCTCACATGTGGAAGTGGTGGAGTTAGCGGTGGCTGCGGCTGCTGCTGTTGCATCAGCGACTGATTCCGAGCGCCTCCACCCGACTGCTGCATCTGCTGTCTCAGCAGATCCATCTCGGCCTCCAGCTCCGCCATCTTCATCATGTGCTCCCGCTGCAGCAGCTGGAGCTCCTTGCTCAGCTCATCTGTGATGGGAGAAACCCAAACCTCGAGTCAAAACTCAATCTCCTGGAGCCCAGATCCTCCTGGAGCCGAGTTTCAATTGAGACCGATTCTGAGCCCAGGTCTCTTCGAAGCGATGGAGGTGGTCAACGTGACTCCGGGGGATTTACCATGTCTGCCTGAGTAACTGAACTGGCACCGTTGAGATCCTGGGTTCTATTCAGCATTTGAGCCACCTGTGATTAAACTGGGATCTCAAGTGTAGTACGAGCCGACGGTCTCAAAGCAATCATCAATGACTGCAAATTCCAGCTTTAAGAACCAAATTCGTTCATTGGCCATGAGAAGAACACACGTCCAGGAGCACCTAATGTGGATAAGGAGGAATTTAAGGAAATTCAAAAATGGTTCTGTGATGTCATCTTCCACGGCCCGTTGTCTGATACAATGTGGGGTGCACCACTCATTGTGTTAATTCCACTGTCAAGAGTTCACAATGGGAATGTCTTCCTCCCGTGACGACGCGAAGCTGATAGCAGTACAAGAAGAATACGGTCGGCGGCGGGGGTGAATTCAAGCGACATCGTACCATCGCTTCCGTGTCTCTTCCTGTCTCCCCGGATCTTGAGGCGGAAAATCTCATCCTCCAGGCGCTGGTTCTCCAACTCCACGGCCAAAAGTTCAGCGTCCAGGCTTCGTCTGAGGGCCTCTCCACGCTCTGCGAAAACCATGTAGCAGATTGTCCTGAACTCACAGGCGGTGGTTGGGAACGCAATCGCTCATGTCTAGGAAACGGAGAGCGTCGGTAGCCTCTGCCTTGGCTGCTGCTGATGACCGATGGTGTTAAACGTTGATGACGCTAAAACATGATAATGTTGTTGATGTCGTTATTACTGATGATAATTATGATGACGGCATTGATGAGAATGATGATGGTGTTGGGAAAATTATAATGTTGCTGCTGCTGATGATGCAACTGCTGATGAAGTTGATGCTTCTGCTAATAATAATGTTACTGATGATGATATATTTACGACTGCTGCTGATAATGATGCATGATGTTGATAAGCATCATGTTGATAATGATGAAGATGATGACAATGTTCACCGACAATACTGATGATGATTATGATGTTGATACAGTAGATGCCGCTTAGGATGTTGTTGATAATGTTGACTATAATGACAACGATGATGATATTACTGTAGTGATGTTGCCGATGATGATGCTGCTTCACCCACTGTGCCCCTTGTGTCGAGGCTTCTCCTGCCTTGGTGCCCGTGCAGGCCGAGGCTTCTCCAGTGCCTCCGCCTCTGCCTGCAGAGCCTGCATGTGGCCAAGGAGCACCGGGTCCCGACCCCCGCTGTGCAGGTAATGCATACGCACAGCACTGTGGGGACACACGGGGACGCATGCGACACAAGGGGAGGAGAGGGGATCTCACAGTGGGGACAGGGGAGACATGGAGTAAATAATAGAGACGCAAAGAGGAAAGGGGAGAAATCGGGGAGGAGAGAGGAGACAGGAAGGAGAGGAAAGAAATGGGGAGGAGGAAGAGGAAGCTCGCGTTCACATGACAGTGGTGTTGTGGTCGTTCGTAAATGAGGCCTCGTTACCATAGATGTAGGGTGCCGACTGTGCAAGAACTATTGGATCTAGCAGAAGGAAGGAAGCAATGGCGAAGTGCAGTGGAATCAACGGAATTGGTCATCGAATGCATAATGACCAACTTTAGAAGGTGTTTTCTAAACTTATAGAGAGATGACCTTATAAATCCAAGAGAGGCAAGAAATGACAAATACAAAACTGACGTCTTGACATTGTCTCTCACCTGATCTCTGCAGAAAGGCTTCCGCCTCCTAGGTAAGGAATAAACGGGGCCATGTTTTGATTGGACTGAGGTTCAGTCGTTCCTTCTGCAGGATTAGACCTGAATAGAGACGCAAAGAGAAATGTGTCCACGTGGATATGTACAAACATAAATACAAAGATGCCCTGTTGATTAATATACCATAGACTATCGGCAAGTGCCGTGATAGAGCACCTATTAAGTTTAACATGGTACACTCAGGGGTGGTGTGGTCAGAACCACATCCGGCCACCTTTTTTTCTCCTGCTGCTGTTGTTTACACATCTCAAAAGGTTCGTATTTAAGGCTGAGTCGACCTAGGGGAGGCTCAGGACAAGTTCTAATCATAAATGGCACTCAAGTTAGGCATGAATGGAAATTAAACTCAAGCAATAGAGCTCATGGTGCAGTGTCCATCATTACATGTGTAACACATACGTGCATGCACACAAGGACATGCACAGACATGTACATTCACTCACAAACACACACAGACATAATTTAATATCCCATATACAGGGATCAAACCCAGAACTGCAGTGATCAGTGATACTGAACCTAACACAAACATTATACAGCTGACACAACCACAATGAACGTGACCCGGCCATTATTAATCTGAGATGGCCATTATGAATCTCGCACGGCCATTATGGACCTGACATAACGATATGAACCTGACAAGGCCATTATGAATCTGACATAAACATTACGAACTCCGCCTTAAAGCTTTCGTGACTGAACCTATCTACGTGACTTTACCGAAAGACCCAAAGAATATTACAAACTCCCTAAGAGAAAAACACACCCAGCCCCGATGCTTGGAAACCAGGACCAGGATGCAGGGTAATCAGTGGGGTCACAGGTCACCGAGGTCCAACTCACGAGGCTTTGCCTTGCAGCTGCTGCAGCTGTTGAGTGAGGAGGCCCAGCGAGGCCTGGTTACGCTGCTCCTGCTCGCGCAGTTCCCGGATGAGTCTCGACACGGAGTTATCTTCTGCCACACCCTCTCCTCCTCCACCTCCGCCTTGTTTTCGTGACGTCAGCTCCTCCATTTTCCTGCGTATGTCTGCGCATAAATCACCGATTAAAAAAAACTTGCAAACATGATCACGAGCTTCTCTAAATCGGTGGCCTCCTTATGTGTGATGTGTAAAAACGAAAATATATATTTTGTCCTTTTGATTGAGATTATGCTACGAGCGTCATGCCATGAGACGAAGAACCCCAATTGAGATCACTCACAGAGGGATGCAACCCAAGGTGTTAGAAAAGGAGATACCACAGAGCTATCGACAAAATCCCTTCAAGTGAATTTTGGTCCAGGCAGTAGCAGGAAGAATTTTCCCACTCACTCTGCCACTGACAGCAATGTCCGCCACATGACAATCAAACCAGTGTGTCTAATTATCAGAGCTAAACTTTTGCAAAATCAAGTGCAGAACCTAGTTTTATGTGATGGTATTTTGTGCAGTCATCAGTGATCAAGCCGAGGCCATCGACTCGCTACACTCGAGAACTTGGTTTATTATTTTGGCTCACAATGACCATGTTAGAGACGCCGAGCTAGAACGTGGCCTCAGTGATCACTTCTCACCTTCTCTCTGATGCTCCAGCTCGGAATTCCGGGCCTGGATTTCGGCGAGCTGCCTCCCATGAGCCTCTGCCAAAGCCCTCAGCTGCATATTTTTGGTATTGATGTCCTGCCACCACAGAGTCAGTGTTAGGGTTAGAGTCAGCGTAAGGGGTTAGAGTTAGAGTCAGTGTTAAAGTCATGGTCAGGATTAGCGTTGGGGTGAGAGTCAGCATCATGTTTAGAGTCAGTGTTACTGTCAGGGTCAGAGTTAGAGTCAGGGTCATGGTTTGAATCAAGGTCTGGGTTAGGGTTAGAGTCAGGGTTAGAGTCATGGTCAGGGTTAGAGTTTGGGTTAGGGTTATTAAATAATGTCAGGCAGAGCGTTAGATGTGGAGTTAGGGTAAGGCAAAGCGTTTGATTTGGAGTCAGAGTTACGTCTTAGGATTATGGTTAATGTTAACATAAGGGGTTGGGTTAAAAATAATTGTTAAGCATATGGTTAGTGTTCATGTTTGGCATAGAGTTAGTGTTGGGGTCAGGGCTTGGGTTAAACTTAGTGTTCGATTAAGGTTTAGGGTTAGGATCAGAATTTTGGAAAAAAGCTGCGTAAAGTTGGCAGGTCCAATAAAAGTCGTGTGGCTCAGTGTCTCCGACTGGGCCAACTTGAGCCGACTGATTTCAAGTACTCACTTCTTCATTGCCTCTCCAGGAGCGGTTGGTGGCAATGTTCGCCTCAATGGACGCACGCAGTTTGTGAAACTACAGGGGAGAGCGTGCAGCGACATCTCAGAGAACAACCTTTAACGGCCAGTTAATCACCGCAGTGGCAAGATGTTAACTACATCGCCTGGTATACAGGAGGTCCAGGGTTCGATCACGACCCTAACGCCTGTATATGTGGACTTTGCGTGTTCTACTCGTGGTCGTGTGGATTTTTATCCGGGTCCTCCGGTTTTTCCCTCCACATTTAGAAACATGCATTTCGAGTATTTGGCTGCTATAAATGTGCACACGATAAGCCACTTAGTTGAGCTATCATTGCGGCCAGGTCACATCTGAAAAAGGGCTATATAGCTAGTGGGCCTTACCTGGTAAAATAAAAATATTTTTAGTTTAGTCTTAACAAATCAACGCACAGCTAGAGACGCCACGACGAAACTCTGTACTGCATCAGCACTAGATTAAATTGGGCTGAAGTTAAACCAGCCTAGATCAGGCTGGGTATAATCTGGTCTAGGCTGGGTTAATGCTTAGCTACTTCAGATCAGTGGGTCCCAACCTGTGCTCTGTAGACCCTGGTGGTCCACAGGACCGTAGAAAGTGGTCAACGAAACTGTTGCAGATGCAACACATTTTTTCAGGTTTATTACTAAAGCAACAAAGTAGTTTTTAATTGCTTTTTAATGAACATTTGGCAGCATTTTTAGTTGATTGGTGCATGGTGGTCCGCAAAACAAGGTGATGGTTGACAGCGGATGGCGAGTCCAGAAAGATTTGGAATGGCTGCTCCAGACTATTTTGAGACTAAACTGATATAAGTTTCAAGCAGCTCACAAATAAATGGTTAAAAAGGCACTCAGGCTTTGTGTATTATTCAAAATCAGTCAGCATTTCTTCAAGAAGTGCATTGTGGTCCTCTTGTTTGAGGTCACTATCAAAATTAATTTGAGCAAATGAGACTAACTCACAGGCTGGTATACAATACATCTCAATCAGCTCAAGCCTCCCATAAATCACTTGACTTCTGTGTGGCCACCCCCACTCTGAATGCCTCACCCTCTACCCGACGCCCTCTGTGAAAACACACGCTGCTCCGTGAGGCTCACTGCTGCTCGCTCCTTATCTCTTCTCCCCCTCCTCCCTCCTCTCATCATCACTGTCATCCCTGACATCTTGGCCTAGTCATTCCTTCTCCGCCTCCTCCCCTTCCTGCCCGGCGCTCCTTTTCTACCTGGTGCTCATTTTGGGGCGTGCCCGCTTTGTATGTCATGTGGACTTCCATCCCGGCATCCCTTCCCTTCCCGAGTCGTTACAAAGCTTGGGATATTGCCGGGTGGTGGAGGGAGATTGAACCGGTTTACTGCAGACTAGGCGAGGGGGGCAGGGGACAGCACCTCTTGCGCGAGGTGGCCAAGGGCTTGTTCGTCTCCATCATCGTCCCCACTGCCCTCCCGTCTCAGGATGCCTCTCTCTCTCTCCAGGAGAAGCTTCTCCTCCATATCTCGCCGCGTCCTCATCTCCTCGCGACGTTTCTTAAACGACATCAGCTGCGACGCCTGTTACACAGAGCAAGACGCGACCCACACGAGGAACATGACGTGGATTTAAATAAATCACTTACACATTCGACCGCATCTTAAGATTGCTGTACAGAACAGCGGAACATGGGCATCCCGGGGAAAGGAGACGTATTTATTTATATAGAGAAAAAGGCCATCAGTCAAAAAGCAGAGAGAGAGAAAAATAAGTCTTGAGACTGAACTTGAACAGGAGCAAGAAGCCAACAGCATGGATGGTTGGGAACAGGAAAATCCAGACAATTTGGGCAGCAGATGACAATGACACGACCTCCCACTGAGTGAAGGTTGACGGGGGTTGACAGGATGCTTTGGTTACTGGCGTAGATAGCGATTGGAGAGTAGGATGAAATCAGCGGGTATGCTGGGGTGAGTCTATGGATGATCTTGAAGATAGTGAGTGCATTGTTGACATTGAAACGGGACTGTATTAAGAGGGATGGAAGTATTGGGGTGATGTGGTCTCGTTAACGGGTGCGATTGAGGAGTCAGGCAGTGGCAGGTGGATCATCTTGAGTTTGGAGGGACTCGGGAAGATCACAGAGCAGTCGCAGTAGTCGAGTTGAGATGTTATCAAGGCATAGATGAAGTTCTCATCAGTAACTGGGGTGAGGAATCGGCGGACGTGGGAGATGCGACCCAGATGGAGGTGTGAGATCCTGGACATTTTGAGATGTGTGGCAAGAAAACGAGACGTCACGATTCATGACATCTCCCAGATTTCGTACTGTGCCAGTGTGGTGTCAGAGTTCAGGAGGTGCCAGACTCAAACTGGTATTTTTCCCAAAAAGGAGTACTTCAACTTTAGCAAAACGTATCTGTAGGAAGTTAGAACAATCTAAGGCTGCATCAGGGCAGGATGCGTGAGAGCGGTAGCGAGATTGAATTCACGGAGTCGATGACGATGCAGATGTGGGCGTCATCTGCGTAGAAGCGATGGTCGACATTAAAATTGACGATGATTTTGCCTAGAAGCAAAATCCTCTCTCTCACCAGGTGAGAGGGAGTGTTACTCCACTCTCTTTTATCTATCCTCTCTCTCTCTTTCTTGGCTATCTCACCAGGTGAGCAGGAGTGTTTCTACTCTCTCTTCTAATCCCTCCTCTCTCTCTCTCTCTTGGCTATCTCACCAGGTGAGAGGGAGTGTTGCTCCTCTCCCCGTGCACGTCTCCAATGCAGAACCTATCCCTGTGTTTGTTCTTCAGCTGCTGGGAGCGGAATCCCATCCCACATCTCTCACAGCGCCACGCCATCTCCAACACACAGGGCCTGCATACATCATCATCATTAACATCATCATTAACATCATCAGCACCACGAAACTTCGTCATCATTAACAGCATCAGCACCACGAAACTTCATTATTATCAGCATCATAAGCAAAAAAATTATACTAATATTTTTTTCGTACGAGTCGGTGTGTATGAGTCGGTGTGCATGAGTCGGTGTGCATGAGTCGGTGTGTATGAGTCGGTGTGTATGAGTTGGTGTACGGTACGAGGCGGTGTGTACGAGTTGGTGTGTATGAGTCGGTGTGTATGAGTTGGTGTGTATGAGTCGGTGTGTATGAGTCGCTGTACGGTACGAGGCGGTGTGTACGAGTTGGTGTGTATGAGTCGGTGTGTATGAGTCGCTGTACGGTACGAGTCGGTGTGTACGAGTTGGTGTGTTTGAGTTGGTGTGTATGAGTCGGTATGTATGAGTTGGTGTACGGTACGAGTCGGTGTGTATGAGTCGGTGTGTATGAGTTGGTGTGTATGACTCGGTGTGTATGAGTCGGTGTGTATGAGTCGGTATGCATGAGTCGGTGTGTATGAGTCGGTGTGTATGAGTCGCTGTACGGTACGAGTCGGTGTGTACGAGTTGGTGTGTTTGAGTTGGTGTGTATGAGTCGCTGTACGGTACGAGTCGGTGTGTACGAGTTGGTGTGTTTGAGTTGGTGTGTATGAGTCGCTGTACGGTACGAGTCGGTGTGTATGAGTCGGTGTGTATGAGTCAGTGTGTATGAGTCGCTGTACGGTACGAGTCGGTGTGTATGAGTTGGTGTACGGTACAAGTCGGTGTGTATGACTCGGTGTGTATGAGTCGGTGTGTATGACTCGGTGTGTATGAGTCGGTGTGTATGAGTTGGTGTGTATGAGTCGGTGTGTATGAGTCGGTGTGTATGACTCGGTGTGTATGAGTCTGTGTACGGTACGAGGCGGTGTGTATATACGAGTACAGTACACCAGTACGCATAGTACGTACAGTACGTGTATGAGTGTGACCTGTACAGCATTCGTCTGAGTACCGTTCTGTATATCTGAATGAACACTACACTATGTATATATGAGTCAAGAGTGTGTACGTGTTAAGAGTGTACGTTTGTATATTAGATGTAGGAGTGTAGTAGTAGTAATAATAATGATGCACTCACAGAATCTGGCCCCAAGTCTCCTCGATTCCGCGTCCAACACTCAACGCCCGCTCGCCATGGCAACGGGCGCGTTGTTTGTGCACAGGTAACAGTGTGAGAGCAGGTGAGTGTGTGTGTGGGAGTGTGTATGTGTGTATGTATATATAATTGTGTGAGGAGCTCACAAATCCTCGAAAGATCTGGGCAAGGTCCCATCGGTGAGCTCCTCCGGCGGGCAAGGCTGCGATGGCTGGGTCATGTAGCCCGCATGCCCAGCCGCCGCATGCCGAAACAGCTTTTGTTTGGCCGGATCGAGGGGGCTAAGCGGGCGCGGCACGGGCTAGAGAAGAGATGGAGTGACGTGGTACAGGAGGCACGGGCTAGAGAAGAGATGGAGTGATGTGGTACAGGAGGCACGGGCTAGAGAAGAGATGGAGTGATGTGGTACAGGAGGACGTGGAGCTGAGTGGACTTGCCGATGACTGGTACCAGCGGTGTCAAGATCGGCCTCTGTGGAGGAGGCTCGTGAAGGACGCTACTGGGCAGTTGGAGGCAGTCGCCCTCCAACAACAACGGAGGGCGGAGGAGCGACGCTCAGAACAACGAGCGGAGCGCCGGGTGGCTAAAGCACAGCAGGTTGGCACAGTAGGGGGCACAGGTGGTGCATCAGCCAGTCGTCTCAGTCGACCCGTGGCACCTGGGTCTGCCCCGTGACCTCCTGCCAGCGGGCGTTCGACACTTCACGTGGCCTCAGGGTGCACACGGCCTGGCACAAGCGTCGTGGTGACGTCACCGCCAATTAGTGGTGAATGGTGGTTGTTGTTGTGTGTGTGTGGGAGTGTGTGAGTGGGAGTGTGCGAGTGTGTGGGAGTGTGTGTGTGAGCAGGTGTGTGGGAGTCTGTGACTATACGTTGGATCTTTGCCTTCGTGTCAGTTTGTATGTCTAGGAGTATTTGTGTGTCTAGGAGTGTTTGTGTCTAGGAGTGTTTGTGTGTAGGAGTGTTTGTGTTCTAGGAGTGTTTGTGTCTAGGAGTGTTTGTGTTCTAGGAGTGTTTGTGTGTCTAGGAGTGTTTGTGTTCTAGGAGTGTTTGTGTGTCTAGGAGTGTTTGTGTGTAGGAGTGTTTGTGTGTCTAGGAGTGTTTGTGTCTAGGAGTGTTTGTGTGTCTAGGAGTGTTTGTGTCTAGGAGTGTTTGTGTCTAGGAGTGTTTGTGTTCTAGGAGTGTTTGTGTGTCTAGGAGTGTTTGTGTGTAGGAGTGTTTGTGTTCTAGGAGTGTTTGTGTGTCTAGGAGTGTTTGTGTGTAGGCGTGTTTGTGTGTCTAGGAGTGTTTGTGTATTTAGGAGTGTCTGTGTGTAGGAGTGTGTGTGTCTAGGCATGTTTGTGTGTAGAAGTGTTTGTGTGTGTCTAGGAGTGTTTGTGTCTAGGAGTGTTTGTGTGTAGGAGTGTTTGTGTCTAGGAGTGTTTGTGTGTAGGAGTGTTTGTGTCTAGGAGTGTTTTGTGTAGAAGTGTTTGTGTGTCTAGGAGTGTTTGTGTGTGTAGGAGTGTTTGTGTGTCTAGGAGTGTTTGAATGGTGGTTGTTGTTGTATGTGTGTGGGAGTGTGTGAGTGGGAGTGTGCGAGTGTGTGTGTGTGGGAGTGTGTGTGTGTGAGCAGGTGTGTGGGAGTCTGTGACTATACGTCGGATATTTGCCTTCGTGTCAGTTTGTATGTCTAGGAGTATTTGTGTGTCTAGGAGTGTTTGTGTCTAGGAGTGTTTGTGTGTAGGAGTGTTTGTGTTCTAGGAGTGTTTGTGTCTAGGAGTGTTTGTGTTCTAGGAGTGTTTGTGTTCTAGGAGTGTTTGTGTTCTATGAGTGTTTGTGTGTCTAGGAGTGTTTGTGTGTAGGAGTGTTTGTGTGTCTAGGAGTGTTTGTGTCTAGGAGTGTTTGTGTGTAGGAGTGTTTGTGTTCTAGGAGTGTTTGTGTCTAGGAGTGTTTGTGTTCTAGGAGTGTTTGTGTGTCTAGGAGTGTTTGTGTGTAGGAGTGTTTGTGTTCTAGGAATGTTTGTGTGTCTAGGAGTGTTTGTGTGTAGGCATGTTTGTGTGTCTAGGAGTGTTTGTGTGTGTAGGAGTGTTTGTGTGTGTAGGAGTGTTTGTGTCTAGGAGTGTTTGTGTGTAGGAGTGTTTGTGTGTAGGAGTGTTTGTGTGTAGGAGTGTTTGTGTCTAGGAGTGTTTGTGTGTAGGAGTGTTTGTGTGTAGGAGTGTTTGTGTCTAGGAGTGTTTTGTGTAGAAGTGTTTGTGTGTCTAGGAGTGTTTGTGTGTGTAGGAGTGTTTGTGTGTCTAGGAGTGTTTGTGTGTAGGAGTGTTTGTGTGTCTAGGAGTGTTTGTGTGTCTAGGAGTGTTTATGTTCTAGGAGTGTGTGTCTAGGAGTGTTTGTGTCTAGGAGTGTTTGTGTCTAGGAGTGTTTGTGTTCTAGGAGTGTTTGTGTGTCTAGGAGTGTTTTTGTGTAGGAGTGTTTGTGTGTCTAGGAGTGTGTGTGTGTAGGAGTGTTTGTGTGTAGGAGTGTTTGTGTGTAGGAGTGTTTGTGTGTCTAGGAGTGTTTGTGTGTCTAGGAGTGTTTGTGTGTAGGAGTGTTTGTGTCTAGGAGTGTTTGTGTGTGTAGGAGTGTTTGTGTGTAGGAGTGTTTGTGTCTAGGAGTGTTTGTGTGTAGGAGTGTTTGTGTGTGTAGGAGTGTTTGTGTCTAGGAGTGTTTTGTGTAGAAGTGTTTGTGTGTCTAGGAGTGTTTGTGTGTGTAGGAGTGTTTGTGTGTCTAGGAGTGTTTGAATGGTGGTTGTTGTTGTTGTATGTGTGTGGGAGTGTGTGAGTGGGAGTGTGCGAGTGTGTGTGTGTGGGAGTGTGTGTGTGTGAGCAGGTGTGTGGGAGTCTGTGACTATACGTCGGATATTTGCCTTCGTGTCAGTTTGTATGTCTAGGAGTATTTGTGTGTCTAGGAGTGTTTGTGTCTAGGAGTGTTTGTGTCTAGGAGTGTTTGTGTTCTAGGAGTGTTTGTGTGTCTAGGAGTGTTTTTGTGTAGGAGTGTTTGTGTGTCTAGGAGTGTGTGTGTGTAGGAGTGTTTGTGTGTAGGAGTGTTTGTGTGTAGGAGTGTTTGTGTGTCTAGGAGTGTTTGTGTGTCTAGGAGTGTTTGTGTGTAGGAGTGTTTGTGTCTAGGAGTGTTTGTGTGTAGGAGTGTTTGTGTGTAGGAGTGTTTGTGTCTAGGAGTGTTTGTGTGTAGGAGTGTTGTGTGTGTAGGAGTGTTTGTGTCTAGGAGTGTTTTGTGTAGAAGTGTTTGTGTGTCTAGGAGTGTTTGTGTGTGTAGGAGTGTTTGTGTGTCTAGGAGTGTTTGAATGGTGGTTGTTGTTGTTGTATGTGTGTGGGAGTGTGTGAGTGGGAGTGTGCGAGTGTGTGTGTGTGGGAGTGTGTGTGTGTGAGCAGGTGTGTGGGAGTCTGTGACTATACGTCGGATATTTGCCTTCGTGTCAGTTTGTATGTCTAGGAGTATTTGTGTGTCTAGGAGTGTTTGTGTCTAGGAGTGTTTGTGTGTAGGAGTTTTTGTGTTCTAGGAGTGTTTGTGTCTAGGAGTGTTTGTGTTCTAGGAGTGTTTGTGTTCTAGGAGTGTTTGTGTTCTATGAGTGTTTGTGTGTCTAGGAGTGTTTGTGTGTAGGAGTGTTTGTGTGTCTAGGAGTGTTTGTGTCTAGGAGTGTTTGTGTGTCTAGGAGTGTTTCTGTGTAGGAGTGTTTGTGTTCTAGGAGTGTTTGTGTCTAGGAGTGTTTGTGTTCTAGGAGTGTTTGTGTGTCTAGGAGTGTTTGTGTGTAGGAGTGTTTGTGTTCTAGGAATGTTTGTGTGTCTAGGAGTGTTTGTGTGTAGGCATGTTTGTGTGTCTAGGAGTGTTTGTGTGTGTAGGAGTGTTTGTGTGTGTAGGAGTGTTTGTGTCTAGGAGTGTTTGTGTGTAGGAGTGTTTGTGTGTAGGAGTGTTTGTGTGTAGGAGTGTTTGTGTATAGGAGTGTTTGTGTGTAGGAGTGTTTGTGTGTAGGAGTGTTTGTGTCTAGGAGTGTTTTGTGTAGAAGTGTTTGTGTGTCTAGGAGTGTTTGTGTGTGTAGGAGTGTTTGTGTGTCTAGGAGTGTTTGTGTGTAGGAGTGTTTGTGTGTCTAGGAGTGTTTGTGTGTCTAGGAGTGTTTATGTTCTAGGAGTGTGTGTCTAGGAGTGTTTGTGTCTAGGAGTGTTTGTGTCTAGGAGTGTTTGTGTTCTAGGAGTGTTTGTGTGTCTAGGAGTGTTTTTGTGTAGGAGTGTTTGTGTGTCTAGGAGTGTGTGTGTGTAGGAGTGTTTGTGTGTAGGAGTGTTTGTGTGTAGGAGTGTTTGTGTGTCTAGGAGTGTTTGTGTGTCTAGGAGTGTTTGTGTGTAGGAGTGTTTGTGTCTAGGAGTGTTTGTGTGTGTAGGAGTGTTTGTGTGTAGGAGTGTTTGTGTGTCTAGGAGTGTTTGTGTGTAGGAGTGTTTGTGTGTGTAGGAGTGTTTGTGTTCTAGGAGTGTTTGTGTGTAGGAGTGTTTGTGTGTAGGAGTGTTTGTGTCTAGGAGTGTTTTGTGTAGGAAGTGTTTGTGTGTCTAGGAGTGTTTGTGTGTAGGAGTGTTTGTGTGTCTAGGAGTGTTTGTGTGTGTAGGAGTGTTTGTGTGTCTAGGAGTGTTTGTGTGTCTAGGAGTGTTTGTGTGTCTAGGAGTGTTTGTGTTCTAGGAGTGTCTGTGTGTAGGAGTGTTGTGTGTCTAGGAGTGTTTGTGTGTAGGAAGTGTTTGTGTGTGTCTAGGAGTGTTTGTGTGCTAGGAGTGTTTGTGTGTAGGAGTGTTTGTGTCTAGGAGTGTTGTGTGTTAGGAGTGGTTTGTGTCTAGGAGTGTTTTGTGTAGGAGTGTTTGTGTGTCTAGGAGTGTTTGTGTGTGTAGGAGTGTTTGTGTGTCTAGGAGTGTTTGAATGGTGGTTGTTGTTGTATGTGTGTGGGAGTGTGTGAGTGGGAGTGTGCGAGTGTGTGTGTGTGGGAGTGTGTGTGTGTGAGCAGGTGTGTGGGAGTCTGTGACTATACGTCGGATATTTGCCTTCGTGTCAGTTTGTATGTCTAGGAGTATTTGTGTGTCTAGGAGTGTTTGTGTCTAGGAGTGTTTGTGTGTAGGAGTGTTTGTGT